AGATGGTCTCCTTCTGACTGCCTTTGAATCAAGACATAGAAGTCTCAGCTCTTCCAGCACCATGTCTGCCTGCATGCTGTCATGCTTCTTGCTATCATAATAATAGACTAAAATTTTGAAACTGAAAACTAGCTCAAATTAAAAGTTTGTATCTTAAGAGTTGCCTTGTTTGCGGTGTCTCTTCACAGAAATGAAACCCTAACTAAGACAGAACTGACTGACTCAAATATTTGTGTTTAAACTCATAGGCTAGTTCTGTCCTCAGTCATAAAAGAAGTAAAGGCAGAGATTCCTAGCTAATCAACATGCCAAGAACAAGTGACTGTTGGGTACTTAGTACTTAATAAGACATATGTATCCCTATGCCAAAGATCAAAGAACATTGTGGAAGAGGAGATAGAAAAAATAAAAATGTTAAGCCACAGGGAGGAAGGTCATAAAGCACTGTGTATTAGCAAGGTATGGCCATGACATTCATGAACTCACAGCAACTGTGATTGCCTACACAGGGTGCACACAAGCCTGAACCAGGAAACATTCAGTCATAGATTGGGGAGGGGCTCTGGGTGGAGTCTGCTCCACCCAGGGAAGTTAGCCACTGTGTTTGGCTGCTGAAGGAGAGGAAGTCATTGTCTTCAGGGGTGTAGGCACTGGTAAGTTACTCATACTCCAGGGGGTAGTATCACATCCATGCTGACACTACTGTGGCTGGTTAAAATCATCATGTTATAAAGCAAAACCAAAAGCACAGCAAACAGCCATGAAAATAGAATGTGAAAGAAGGAGGTTGTTGAGAAATCAGTTGCTGTAGCAAGACCAGCCACAGATCCAGGAATGTGGCAGAAAAGTGAAACAGACACCATGAAGTTGGGGAAGTTGGAGGTGTGGAAGATCCTGTGGAGTACAGAGAGCACAGAGCAGGAGAAGCAGTCTGTTGAGAGCCAAGATATTTCCTCATGCTGCCATCTCTGGGATGAAGGAGCACTGGCCCAGTGGATATAAGCCACAGTTGCTCTGTTAACCCTGAATTCACCCATACCAGCTGCATAGGGCTCTGAAGCACTACAAACTTTAATTGCCAAATTTTATGGCCTGTACAATGATATAGAACATTTATTGTATGATTTTTGGAAGTAAAACATATCCTGGGGATTGGGGAAAGACAAGGAAATGTAGACCTTCTCAAATGAAGGAAAACTAATCTAATATAGTTTTAGAAACTTAAGTTTGCTATTTGTGATGAAGCATACTGCAACCTCAGCACCTGAGAGACTGAGAAAGGAGAATATCTGTAAGTCAGAAGTCAGCCTTGGGTACTCAGCAATCTGGAAACAAACCTTGGCCAAATAGAAAAGCCTTGTCCCAAACACATGCATGAATGAGAGAAAAGGGGTGTGGAAGGCATCAGTTTGTCTCATCTGTGAGGTATTACACAGCTTTAATTTTTAAGGTTCTGTGGTGTTCATAGAAAGATAGAAAAGGAAAAATGGAACAGAATAGAAAAGCTCAAAGTGGATTCAAACAAAACAGAGCATGTAATAATTGTTTTTAAGGTATATCTTATCCGTTATCAGTGTGTACTTGTGGGCATGTTAGGGGCAACATAGAGATCAGAGGACAATGTTTGGGTTTCTTCTTCCATTGTGACTTCCAGGGATTTAAATAGGTCCTCATGATGGCAGAATAGTTTATTCATTTTATTATGTCTATAATATATAATGCTATGTATGATATATCCGGTATATATGTTATAGCAATACATTCACTTTTAAAATTTTTCAACATTAAGTGATATTTTAAAAATTTCCCACATTAAGTGACACAATAGGAGCAAAGTTAAGTGGCACATTTATAGGAGTTGTGCATGACTTATTGATGTATAGGAAAAATGTATCATAACTAGTGTTTCAATTTTTTATATTTTTTATTGGATATTTTATTCACATTTCAGATGTGATCTCCTTTCCCTACTTCCCCCACCCAGGGAACCCCTATCTCATCCCCCCTCCTCTTACTTCTATGAGGATGTGCCCCCACCCACCTACCCACTCCCATTTTCCCACCCTCAAATTCCCCCACACTAAGCACTGTGTTTTCAGCCTTCGGTACTAAAGTGCAACTCAAAGAAAAGTTATGTAAAAGTAAGATATACTTTTAAATGGAGGGTAAAGTTAACATTCACTCAACACCACTCAAGTCAAGAACTATCCCAATGCCAGGGTAACACTGAGTCCTTCTAATTGCAGTCCCATCATTAAAGCCTAGAGTTATCTATTATTTTGACAATGCTGATGTTTGACCAATTTGAATGAATGGAAAGATAGCCTTTGCTATAAATGGTCCTAGAACAATTATACATCCATCTATTCCTGGCAGGGGTCGGGGGGCAGAAAGAATGTATTCCTAGACCTTACACTTTATAAACAGAAAACCTTGAAGTGGTAACAAATATTAATGAGAAATATACAACTGTAAAACCTCTAGAAAATAATCTAAAAATCAATTGTGTTTATAAATATACAAAATGGTCTTTTAGTTGACACCAAAGGACAGTATATTATACAGAGACCGATAGGAAGATGGAATAAATATGATGATAGATAGATAGATAGATAGATAGATAGATAGATAGATAGATAGACATGAGAGAGAGAGAGAGAGAGAGAGAGAGAGAGAGAGAGAGGGAGAGGGAGAGAGAGAGAGAGAGAAATAAGAATTTAGTAAGTCAGCTGAGAACATTGTAGTTACTCTGTTTTTGAGGACAGGATTCACAGTAGGTAGAATAGTCCCACAATGGCCAGCTCTCACTGAGGGAGGCTTACAACTGGCATTGCATAGTCACCAAAGCTGGTTACCTCATCACTCCCATCTGTTGCTGGTAGCCCAAAGGATTACTGGAGATCTGCTGATTTCTAGTTCTCAGCAAGAGCTTGGAAACTCTGGTACCATATCAGCAAATGAATCAGCAGCCCTAGCAACAGCACAAATTAACTCAGCAGCAAGAGGGAAGGCCAGGGAGCACAAGGTGAGATGATCCTCCTTCTGTCATGCCCTTTTATCTGTACTGTGCTAGAAGTTGCCACCCATAAGCACAGTAATTGTGTGTCTTTCGACATCAATCAACACTACCAAGATTCTTCTTCAGGTGAGGCCCCTACTCAGGCAATTCTAATTTGTGGCAAGTTGACAATAAAGCCAAGCACAATGGGCAGTTTATAAAAGGGGGATTTAAAAAGTAGAACCTAATCAAAATTCTGAATATTTTGCTTCATGGAAGATCCCCAGGAAGATAAGAAGGCAAGATGCACCATGGGAGAGATATTTATAAAACATCCAGCAAAGACGTAACTAGACTAGATTAAGTACTTTCAAAAGTCAACAGGATTTTTTAATCTAATTAGAAAATAGAATAAAGACCCAAAAAGTTCCTATCACAGAGATGTGTAATGGAGAACCATCTTCAGTATAATTAGTCATTAGGGAAACGGATACTAACACTAGAATGAAGCACCACTGCTGGCCTATAAAGATGGCTGAAAAAATACTAATGCCACAACCAGGCAGGGATGCATGGGAACACATGACTCACACTGCTGCTGGCAGTGTAAGTGTTCCAAGAAAGTCAGGTGTATCCAGACTACTGCAAAACCATACAAACCGCTGCAATAAGACTCAGCAACTGCACTGCAGGCAGGCCATCTGTCCCCGAGAAACTAAAAGTTCACACATTAAACTGCACAGGGCTATTTGCATCAGCTTTTTACATAATATCCTGAAAGTAGTAACAGCTTCATCGTCCTTCCATGAGTGAACAGTGAACCAAAACAGTGGTAGCTATGTAGTGTAAACTGCTACTCAATCAAAGAAATAGAACAACATTCTGCAACCTGGATAAAGTAGGAAGAGATGAATCATTCCAATGCCAGAGTCTTAACTCCAGGACTCTGTTTATAAAACCTTTCTGAAAGGCTGGGGATATAGAAATGTAGAGCAAATTGACTAATGACCCAGGAGGGTGGAGGTGGGGAAGAGTGAGGCTGGGGGAGACAGCATTGGTCCCGTCATGGTGATGACATTAGCTAGGCTTTTCAAGGTGTTGCCATGGAAGAAACTAAGCTGATTCTGGTATTCCTCACAACGGCATATCAGTCTATAATTATCTCAAAATTAAACATTAAAAATTTAAAGCTGCATAGGACATTGGAAGGAAAATAACCATTACTGGCAACTATAAGAGCAATCATTGCCTGGACCCAGAGAGACCTGCCTTGTACTCCTGCTATTTATGAGATTTTCCTTCAGACGCTGTCATCCTTTTCTCCCATTTCTCCTTGGTCCTCAGTCATATGTGGCCCAAAGACACCTTTCCCATCTCTACCTCCCATCAACACTTTATATTCCCTCTTCTTAGTCACATTTTTATCTTCTTGGCATTGGTTGTGTTTCATAGTCCTGCCTTTATTTGCTGGTGTTTCCCATGTGTTGTAAACAGAATATCTGCCAGAGGAGGTCAGAGGTCCTGGCCAGTGTTACATCATTGTAGTATCCTATTGTTTTTGCTAATGTCAGACTTGAAATGGGTGCTCAGAAAATATGGTTTTCAGTTGAATTGCAAAATAAACTATTTGCACTGTAGGGTAAAGCTGCAGAGGTGTGTGAAGGATGCACATTAGTGAAAGGTAAGGTCAAGTTCAGGCAGGCAACGTTGTCAAACTGTTTGAACAACTCCTGTAACTCAGCACAGAAAGCAACCAACCACCTTTCTAAATGCCCAAATGATTTACATAAAGATTTCTACAAAGATACAACGTAGCCAATACAGGAGAGAGAAAAGAGGTGGATCAATTTTTCAACTGTGAGAGAAGCATAAAACATAACCAATGAATTACTGCCTCATTAGGATGGCTACTATCAAAAAAAAAAAATAACCACAGAAGAAAGCATTTTAAAATAGCTAGGATTTGGAGAACTCAGTATCCTCACACATTCGTAGTATAGCCACTGCCCCTAGAGGCATTGCAGGTGTGGCTGCTGTGTCTTATGTTTGTCAGTAGGTGGCAGAGAGGCAAAAGGCTACTTTTATGCCCAGTGTCACCTGTGAACAACTGAATGATTAAGTAGCCCAACATTCCCTGAAAAAAAAGTGATTCTGAACTAGCCACCAGTCCTGCCCTAAGGAGCTAGCCATAGAGGACCACTAGACAAGCACTATGTGGCCCAGACAGGGAACTAGCCTGAAATGACAACCAGTTCAACACTGCACTAGCCTGGGGGAGTGGAGGAGGGAGGGTCAGGGGGGCGGTGAGACCATGCCCTAGATGACCCTGTCATAGCACTCCTGAGACCACCCATGAGATGAACCCAGACATTCAAGATATGCCAAGCACCACTAAGAGAAGCAAGTTAAGTAGTGGAGAAATGAAAAAGAAACAGAGGGATGTAGGCACAATGAAGAGAGGCAGAACCTGAGACTCTAGAGTAGTAGGGACAGCCTGATATGAGTAGCTAGTAGTGCCACCTGGAACCATGGAGGGTCCTGGTCTGTGTTGCCATTGGCGACCACGTCTGAATCAGTGACCCTGCAGTAGCAGTGGTCTGTTACCACCAAAGGTCATGTGGGCGTCCATGGTCTGTCCTGCCATCCAGGGATATGTTGATGTCTGAGGGCCTGGCAGAACTCACCTTACCCCTTCCCTGGGCACTCTGGGACAGCTTACCCTAGGGACACGAGAGCAAGAGAGCTGAACTTGCCCCTAGCCAGCTGCAGTGCTCCAGAGAGTGGGCCCAAGGATACAGGATGGGAGAGCTGGCCCTGCCACTCACCTCCCATACACAATGGCATGAATGAGGCAGAGATACCCTCCTCCTTTCTTATCCCTTACCACCAATGGCAGGCTGGAGAGTTGGCCCCAAGGTTATCAGAGCAAGAGGGCTGTCGCCCCTGCCCCTGCCCCTGCCCCTGCCCCTGCCCCTGCCCCTGCCCCTGCCCCTGCCCCTGCCCCTGCCCCTGCCCCTGCCCCTGCCCCTGCCCCTGC